TGTGTGTGTGTGTGTGTGTGTGTGTGTTTTCTTTTGATGTTTTGTTTTTTCTGTTTGTTTTGTATTCGTTTTGAGGGTGGTTGGCGGGTGCTCTGGTGTGGTTTGCTTCTTCTTTCCTATCAAACATCTGTCGTCTTTATCTCCCCTCTTTCTTTTTTGTGTTTGTTACTCTCCTGTAACACCTCTAATCTTCGGCATTTATATGACAGTATTGTGTTCCAAGTGCTGTAAAACACTTACTAAAACTGAAAAAAATAGTATTCGTTTTGTTAGGTGTGCCGGAGTATACATATGAGTACATCAGCTCGATGCTGCACTTGAACAACAGCATTTAATTTGCTAATAACTCAATAAGGTGGCTTTCTCCCATTTTCCTTTTAATCATTTTCATTCCTATACTGGGGATTTAACTTTTTTTTACACCGTTTAGAATAATTTTCTGGATGGTTGGAGGATGCCTCTCTTACGACCCATGTCCTTTCTGTCCCTCTATTGTCTGTCCCTCTATTGTTGTTATGTGAATGTCTTGGGGGTTTTTTGCGGGGAGGGGGGGGGGTTGGTACGTTTTAAAATTATTTTTCTTTTTTTTTTTTTTGCTTTGTTTGTTGCTCCATTTTTATTAATGTTGTTTTTATTGTACTTGTTTTTGCTTTTTTGTTTTGTTGGGGGGTTTTTTTGTTTGTTTTTTTTGGTTGTTTGTTTGTTTTTTTTTTGGGGGGGGGGTGGGGGGGGGGATTTCTATGTAAAGCTAAAAAGAAGAAAACAAAGAAAAAAAGGAAAAAAAGCAAGGAGAGAAACCAATTTTACTGCATTTTGCCTTAAACTATATTTGACTGCATTCTATTCATACTACATGTATTTGAATTCCTACCTTTTGCGTCATGTAGATTTTCAAGATTTCAGTAAGGCCCTTTTGAGCCTTTGCCGTAATAGTTTAAGCACTTCGATCCACATACCCCTGAAGCCACGATCGCACGTACGATCACAAAATCAGTGTGGATTTCCCCGTTTTATAATCGTTTTCTGTTTTAGTTTTGTTTTTTAAATGTGCGAACAGATTTCTGAATAATCTCATTGATTATCTATAATTTATTTACAGCCCTTTGTAGATGGAGAAAGTGGCTGATTTAAACAAACGGACGTCCAGGGTCGTGTCATTATAATAATACTGTATTTAAATAAACGAAGGGGGCTGAGGGGATTGGAAATGGTCGTCTCTATAGAGCTAAATGATTGTCTTGAACAGGTAGGTGACCGTTAGAGCAGGTTCAACTCTACATGTACATCTTCATGTCACCATTATAGTTTTTGCCCTTTTTAAGTCTGACTTCATGGGAGGTTGGCGGGTGCTATATCTTTCCTATCAAACATGTGTCGCCCTCATTTCCCGTCCTTTTCTTTTTCTCTGTGTTTGTTTCTTTCTTGTAACACATCTAATTTTCGGCACTTGTGTGACACCCATTGTGTTGCAAGTGCCGTAACACTTTGTACTGAAACTTTTTTTTAAAGTTTGACTTTATGGAAAGTGTGTGTGTGTGCCTGTCTGTGCGTCTGTGTG